CATCAATCTAATAAAAAAAATCGATCGATATCAACTGTTTATAGTACAAACGAACCGCGAACATTTCATATAGGACAGAGCAAATATAAAACCAGCAAAAATGTTCTACTTAGAATATTTGGTAAAAGCCATAAATTTTTCCTAATGCCTAAGAATTTTCCATTGATTGAAGATGCTATACTAGGTCTGCCACGTCTAGACAAATACCGATACGAAATATCTAATGAAACATTGAAATTAGACAACAACACTTTGCACTTCCAGAAACACACAGTAATTCAACCAGGAGAAAAGGGAGTTCGAATGATCTACTTGGAAGGACAACCAACGAGAGTATGTTTCTTTAACACTGGTGAGAAAAATCACGAAATTTTCAATTATATTGAAAACAATAAAGATTTGGACCAAATTCAAAGCCATTTTGAGGACAAATCATATCGAACGCGAATTTAGAGAACCTATAGAAAAAATACTAATTCACTATATAGATGTATTCAACTTAGAGGCAGACCCTTTACTTTGCATAAACTTGACGAAACACGTAACTACACTGAAACAAGATAAAATTAATAACACCAAATCTTATAGATCCTCAGAATGTCACAAAGCCGAGATCGAAAAAAAATGAAAGAAATGTTAGACAAAAATATTATTGAAGAATCGGATTCACCTTACAATTCACCAGTTTGGGTAGTCCCCCCAAAAATAGACGCTTCAGGAAAATTGACAGACCAAGACGCCTACCCTTTACCTGACATAGAAGACATACTGAGCCAATTAGAGAATGCGAAATTTTTTTCCGCGTTAGACTTATACTCAGGATTTCATCAAATACCCATGAATTTAAATTAAAAAAAATACACCGCGCTTTCAACACCTCAAGGACACTTTCATTACAATAGAATGCCATTTGGATTAAAGAACGCACCCGCGACTTTCCAACGCATGATGGACACAGCTTTGAGAGGTTTAATCAACAAACACTGTTTTGCTTACTTAGACATAATAATATTCGGAGTACAATCCAGAAACATAATCAGAATTTAGCAATAGTTTTGCAAAGGGGGAATTATTTAGGGAATTAGGACTCAAGATACAACCCGATAAATGCGAATTCCTGAAACCAGAACTAGAATACTTAGGACACATTATAACAGCCGAAGGAGTAAAACCGAACTCGAAGAAAATACAAGCAGTAACAGACTTTAGGATACCGAAGAACCCAACAGAAGTCAAATCATTTTTAGGACTAGTAGGATACTACCGTAAATTCATAAAGAACTTTTCTAAAATAGCTACACCTGTAACAGACTTAATAAAAAAGGACGTTAACTTCCATTAGACAGATAAACAACAAAACAGCTTTGAGACATTAAAACAGAGACTATGCGACGCACCAGTTTTAACATACCCCGACTTTACTAAAACCTTTACGCTAACGACCGACGCAAGTAACGAAGAACTAGGGGCAGTTCTTTCACAAGACGGACACCCATGTTGTTTTATTTCTAGTATACTGAATCTACCCGAAAAGAATTATACGACGACTGAGAAAGAACTATTAGCAATAGTCTGGGAATTGAAACGATTACGGCAATACTTGTTAGGACGAAAATTTATTATTAGAACAGACCATTAGGCTTTGAAATGGTTGAATAATTGCAAAGACCCATCGTCTAGATTAATGCGATGGAGACTAAAGTTAGAAGAGTATGAATACACAATCGAATACGTTAAAGGCAAAGAAAACCCAGTTGCAGATAGCTTATCTAGAATTCACACGATTCAAATGTAGAAACTCCTGAAGGAACAGTAGACTTTTTTTTTTTAACGTGGAGGAAATCCGCACGGACACCAGGCCGCTTCTGGGGAAAGTGGCGTGGTAGTGCTGGATTCCAACCGACTAAAACCTCCACGATGACCGTCCCGGCTGCGATCGAGAGAGGCCTGGGAACTAGTGCGAGCGACACATCCTAATGGAGCGGTGTGCGGCCATGTCATACCACGCCTTGTCGTCAAAGCCACCGTGCCAGACAGTCTGGTTCCCCTACCGGACTGCTTGGCGGTCCCGAGGCGCTGAGCTGCCAGCGCCTAAATGCCAACATCACACGGAGTTCCCAAGCGGTCACCCATCTAAGTACTATCCGTGCTCAGCGTTGCTTAACTTTCGAGATCGGACGAGAACGAGTGCTTTTTTTTTTTAAATAACGTTTATTAGACCAAGATACATTTTAATACATTTGGGTATTCACAATAAACTGAATTTTGATAACATGTGTTAGGCAAAAGTACCGATACGCGACGGTATGACGTAGCCATACCATGTTATGTGTCAGCGTTTTACACTTTTGCGTTTTAATATATTCTTTGGATTTAAGCCGCTAAGAACGGAGCTTTGTGTGATTTGGTGAACTTTGGGGAGGGAGAGGGGGATGTTAAATAGGTTTATTTACAAAATGTACAATATTTACAATGTTTACACCTGTGTTATATCGAGGCAGAATTGAGTTTTGCCGGTTTAATGGTTTTCTCTCTTATTTTATTATGGATTCGGTATCCACCAATATTTTTTTGTGTTTTTTCTGTGCTTTAGTGTCTTTCAGAGGGAGGACCATGTTGTATCTCCACCTAGTGTCTGCGGTCTGTCCATTTAAGTTTTCTTCGTAGAGTATAGTTTTGATCCCTATTTTTCTTTTTATATGATAGATTATTGGGATATTACTTTAGTCTTGGAGGTAGTTTTTTTCGTTTAGGTATAGGAAAACTTCTGGGGGAATGTAGCTTGTTGTCAGTGTGTTTTTGTAATATGCGTCGTTTGGAAATAAACAACTGAAGATTAAGCTGTTTTCTTTTATCTTTGCAGCTTGCGCGAAGTGGTTTCTTATTAATTTTAAGATGTGACGGTCTATGCGGTGAATGTTGGCTGGGTCGTAGATTCTTTTGTTTTTTACATATTTTTTGAATCCACTGTGTTCGGATCTGTAAGTACTCAAGCAAGCTCTGATGCATTTTCTTTCGAATATGCGAATTTTTTCCATTTGGGAGGCTGATATGTTGTACCAGATTGGACAGCCGTAGGTTATGATCGGTCTGATTAGTGCTTGGTAGCATAGTATTTTTACTTTCCTGTCAAGATGTTTGGAGTAGAATAGTTTTTTTATTTTCCAGAATGCTTTATTGGCCTTAGCAAGTTAAATTTCGGCGTGCTGCTTGTAGTTTAATTTGTAGTCTATGTTTATTCCTAGGTATTTTATGCAGCTTTGTGTGGTATGAGTGCCCCTTTGTTTGCCTTTTCTCTTAGTTGGAATTTTTTGCAGTATTCTCTTTCTATTGGGCCGATTTCACTTGACTTGGGTCTAAGCAGTATTCACATTTCAGGTTTCGCATTTGCTTGTGTTGATTTTTAGTTTCCAGGTAGTTTTTTAGTTTTGTGGTAGTAATCGTTAATTTTCTCAAAAAGTTCTTGGAATTCCGTTTTTATTGTTTTGGTTTTGCGGCCTGTTACGTAGATGATTAGGTCATCTGCGAAGGCTATGGAGCGTTTATGGGTGGATGTATTGGGATTAAAGAGATTTAGTAAGTCACTATTGTAAATACTGAAAAGTAACGGCGAATTAACTGTACTTTGATGTAGACCGTTTTTTATGGAGAATTCTTTGCCTGATGTGCGTGAACCTTCGGTCATTACGAATGTTCTGCTTGTGATCATGTCCCAGACTATTTTAATTAGGTATTTTTAGGAAAGTTTTTCTTGATCAATTTGTATATGAGATCTGGGATCCAGACTGCGTCGAAAGCTTTTTCGAGGTCTATTAGGCAGGCGGCTACTCGTTGTTTTGCGTTTAGCGCCCAGCAGATGTCCGACGTAAGTTTGTTTATTGCGTGAATTGTGGAGTGTTTGTGCCGGAAGCCAAATTGATTTTCTGGGATTATGTCATTTTTTGTGCAGAGGGAGGTTAGAGGGTTGTTTATGATTATTTCAAATACTTTGCTTATGTTGGGGAGGAGACTTATAGGTCGTAGGTTTGCCGGTGATGAGCCGTCTTTATTTTTTTACTTTAGGAATTCTAATTCTTCACTTTTGTCGTAAGAATAGTCGTATTTTATATTGTTTATTTTGGAGAGTATGTAGCTTTTGTCTCGTTGTAGTTCTTTTATTTTATTGTTGATATAGGGCTCGCATGAATTTTTTTGTTTCATGTTTGGCACGGATTTTTGGAAAGCGATTTGTATATGTTTTTCTATTTCGTCTATGAATGAGTCGATTTGTCTGTTTGTTAGGTTGACGTTGTTGTAGATCTTTAGGTCGCAGTTCTGTTCGAATAGGTTATGGAACTTTTTCCAGTCTGTCTTTTTGTAATTGTACCTAGGTGTCTCGGTCTGTGTTTCAAGTGTTAAGAAGTTAGATGTATTCTTGTTTATCTGAAATACTAGGGCGTTATGATCACTGTCATAGTCTAAGGTTTTGAAAGTGTTATTTGGACGTTGGTTTTGAAATTTTAATCGCGCATCTGCTAGGCATATGTCCAGGTATGAGCCTCCTTTTGGGTAAGAGGGTAGCTCGGAGCTATATAAGTTTGTTTTGTAATGAATGCTTTTATTGTCTAGCCAGTTTGTAATGAAGTTGCCTCTCGTGTTATTTATTTCGTTTTTCCAGCTTGTATGTTTTGCGTTAAGGTCGCCTGCTATTATATAGTAGTTTTCCGGTTTGTTGAGCTGTAAGAGTTCGAAAAGTTTATTGAATTCGTCGCTAAATTCTTTCTGGTTTTCGTAGGTTGCAGTGATGAATAAGTTTTCCTTATTGTTTATTTTTATTTTTATGATCGTTGTTTCTAAGATTTTGAAACTTGTTATTTGTCATTTAGAATTGTTTTGTATTTTGGAGGGATTCTTTTTATGAGGATTGCTGTTCCTCGTCCTTGGCTGGCGTTCGGTCTGTCGTGTCTTATCATGGAGTAGTTTTTGAAGTGTACTTTGTGTCTTTTGTTTAGTTTTGTTTCTGAGATAAGTACGATGTCGGGGGTTTCTTTACTTATGTAGTATCGTGGACAAAAAGCCTAAGAGATATCGGGCGAACCATGAACAATGTCGCGAGAGCCGAGGCGCTGTCGGGCCCATCAATGTGTCATCGGTCTTTTCAAGTGCATAGTTTCGTAGAAAAGACCTACGTGACCCTGGCTACGAGCGTCTGCAGAACACGTGTGCAGTGGGCCTAGGAAAAGACAAGAGAATGCCACAACGGCCAGAGAGGGGGTCGAGAAGCAGCGTGCGGGTGGAGAAGCAGCGTACGAGTCGAGAAGCAGCGTGCGAGTCGAGAAGCAGCGTGCGAGTCGAGAAGCAG